TTATCTATAGCCCATGATGGAGAAGATGAAATAACTTTGGATTGTTAGAGCAACTCCAATGCAAGGGTGTGGTCTCTTACTCTCTTACACACCCTTACGCATGGATCTCATTTTTTATCTCACAATTTTTATGTGTAAGACCCACACATTTACTAATTTATTTTCATTTTTTAAATCACTTTTAACCTATTTTTCAACAATTTTTCCTCCTCGAATCTCATGTAAAGTCCATATATGGACCTTGTCATAGACCTTGGTCTATTTTTACCTCTATCTCTCTCCTCTTATTCATTTTCTCCTACACACTACTCCATCCAAATATTTATTCTATCTCTATCTCTCCTATGCCACATCAACTCCAATGCACTCTCCCATTGGATATCTCTAGCAACGATTTTATCAAGCGATAAACACGCCGTCACAGATAAAATGCCTAGCAAAATCTATAACAAAATCATTTATTCGGGATATTTTACACTACCGCCCCTAACAAATTCCGTGACAAAACATCTATGTTTTTTTGTAAAAGATCTGTATGCAAGGTGACATTTGTTGGAGCTCTACCAGAAAACTTTCAGTTGGAGATCATTCCAATTGTATGAGATTGACAATAATACCACTGCAGCAATGTTGAATCTAGGGTGTGCCGTTTTCCAAATGGAGTATATTAACCGCAAACAGTTGAGCTCTCCAAGTAACAACAAAAAGTGGAATGTTGGCTAAAATCAAAATAAATACAGAAGTACAAAGGAAAAATCTTTAATTTTGTAACTAAGAATGTTCAATAAAGGCGAGAATGTATTTATTGGGAAAGTAATATGACCACCAGAATTAGTGAGTAGACTGTCAAGAAAAGATAGTCATGGCTTGGGGTTACTAACAATTTGTTAAAGGAAAAGAAGTTTTTATGGAGAAAAATGAAAATTATAAGGAGGATATATTTTATTAAGACTTAAAATTTGTCACTTTCATTTGTGGTGTCTAGTCATGTTTTTATGTCACATATGTTTGACACTATTATAAAGTAGAAATGATATGTCACACAAATATCTACTAGTGACACTAGAGAAGTGTCACACAAAAATATGTCACTATATAAGACTATTTTCTACTTTACACTATTACTCATTTAAACACTCAGAGCCCGTTTGGAGAACTCTGTTTTCGGCTTATCAGGCTTATCAGCTAGCTTTTTCACCAAACACGTAACTTTTACTTTCGCGCGCTGAATTGTGTAATAAGCCGAAAAAGTAAGGTTGGAGTTACTTTTCTGGCTGTATTGGCTGAAGTTACTGTAGAGGACCATTTTAGCTATTTTTACATATAATTTTTTCTTTAATTTATTAATAAAATATATTTTTAAAATATTTTTTTCTTAAATCAGCAGAATCAGCCAAAACAGCCACTCCAGCCAGAATATCATAAATTTCAGCAGAATCAGCCAAAACAGCCGATTTTGGTGCTACCAAACGGGCTCTCAATCGTGTTTGATATTATAATTATTCACACATTAATCACATGTACATTATATCTAAAATGATAGCAATCATTCAAAGATATTCATATTTTGAAAATAACCAATAACATTAAACAAAATTACCTAGTAATTACACAAATTCTGAGTGATATTAATGTTGTTTAATTTTTCAGGTGCCTTCAACAATTATCCATAAGTTCAACAACCTCAAGATTAGACAATAATTATGTTGAACCACCACAAATGAAGGACACAATCACACAAATACCTTTTTTAGCATCAAGTTTTGTTTTATTCTCAGAGCCAGAGTATCCTAACACGTAAATCAGGAGATGGGGCAGAAGAAGGATATCTTCTGAGCTGTTACATAAGAACGAAATCCACAACGAACAAAGGCCCTTCTTTGATTTCTTCTTCTTCTAAGTGGGAGAACTAGTGTCAGTAATTGGGCTACCAAACAAGGAAGAGAAAGGCGTTGATGCGTTATTGCTAGCAATACAGCATCACCCTTTTCCCAGTAACCCAGTTAACCCAGCATCACCCACTGATTTTGTAAAGGGAAAATTTGATTTTGCACCCCATGTTTTGGTTAATATTGGACTTTACATTCCATTTTCAAAATCATTAATATTTACACCATATTTCACTATATAATTCATTTGACTTTGCACCCCCCTCTTTCACAATTTTTGAGCAAATGAGGTGCAAATATTAATGATTTTGAATATGGGGTGCAAAGTCTAATATGGCCTAAAACATGAGGTGCAAAGTCAAATTCTCCCTTTTGCAAACTCCTCATTCCAAGTCAGGGGCGGAGCCAAGTGTTGACTTATGGTGTCAAATGACACCACTCAAAGTCTCAAAATATATATTTATTGTATATATATATATATATATATATTAATATATGTATATGTAGAACGGAAATGTTTAAATGACACTACTAATTTTTTCATAAACAGGGTCAATATATAAAACGCATTCCCCCTATCTCACAAGTTTTTCATTAAAAGAATGATGTTGATAATATTTAATTAGAAAGTAACAATAATATGATACTCTTATTTTTTTTTTAATTTACATCATTTGTAATCTTAAAGCCCGTTGGATAACACTATAATTGGCTGAGTCAGCTAGTTCTACTCAAATTTATGAAATTCTGAATCAAGTGGCTAGATTAGCTGCTTGAATAAAATAAAAAATATATACGGAGTATTTAAAATATATTTTATTAATAAAAAAATATAAAAAATAGCTAAAGTTGTCCTCTACAGTAACTTCAAACATAAAAGTAACTTCAATTTTACTTATTTTGATTATTGCACAATTTAACGTGCAAAATCAAAAGTTGTGAAAAAATTGGCTGATTAGCCGAAAAACGATCACCAAAAGGACTCTTACCTAAGGTAATTTTGATTGTTATATTACTTTGACACCACTCGTAGTATATCCCGGCTCCGCCATTGTTCCAAGTCACCAATTCTAAGAACGCTTTCCCCTCACTGTTTGCTAACAACCTGAAATATTCCGGGTGTATGGGAACCCAAATTCCCTCTTGGCCTATTGACTTTTGTTCAACAACAACTTGAAATATTCCGGGTGTATGGGAACCCGAATTCCCTCTTGGCCTCTATTGACTTTTGTTCAAGAAGATGGAATGAAATTCTTGGAGAGTGAATATTTCACTCACTCCCCAACAAGTGAGAAAATAGGTGAGAAATTTGTGAAGACGTACCAATGATGTAGTGCCATGGTCGCATGCTTTGTCACTACGTATAAGGGTGAATAATTTAATTTGGGTGTCATTTTATTTTATAGTAATTTATAAATATTATATTTATATTCAAGCCAAGCACATTGTGGTTCCAAGAAGGAGGTCATAGGTTCAAAATCCATCTCAGTCAAGGATGTTGGCATTGAACATATACCATAAAAGAGACTAGAAAGTCTAGCAAAAAAACTACAAAATTCAAGTAACTATATATTGGTCAATACAATAAAAAACTTAAATTAAAAATTAGATAATATGTACTCAGAACATATAACTTCAATTAAGGGGGTGTTTGGAACTGATTCTGCTTCTGCTTCTTTTTTAAAGCAGAATCAGAATCAGAATCGGTTTTCAGAAGCTGGTCTCCCCTAACTTCTAAATAAACTGATTCTAGGAGTAAATTAGAGCACCAGAATCACTTTTACACTTTCACCCAAACACTTCAACTTCTGTTTCTGCTCCCTGAAGGAGCAGAAGCAGTTTTAAGAATTGGATCCAAACACCCCTAATACAGACGTTCGAATTCAAATCTATGACGTAGTGGAGTACTGCTAAAATTAAATAATTATTAACATTTGAGATAGAGTAACTCAAAGACACAAATACTGCACAAAAGCGACAGATTCATAATATAAAGTGATACAAAGATTGTGATAATTCAGACGAAAAAATTGACATAATGACCAAGCAATTCATTCGCTATCTATTTCTTCTTCAATGGCCGCTCGGAGTCTCAAACAACCGTTTGAATTGAGCTTCTACTAACTTTTGAAAGAACTTGTAAGAGTAGATTTGATAATTTCCGATTTGCTGATGTTGTGTCGCGAGAATGCATGTACACGCATATGGTAGGAGTAAGTGCACATATTTGGAAGTGGAGGAGGAGCACCAAATCCGTCTTCATAGATACCATTGTTCCTGACATTACAAAAGTAATTCCTCACTTCACAAGTAACTCGATATTTCTGAAACATTAAAACAAGAGGTGAAATCTCCTAAAGTTTAATATATATACAAAAAGTACAGTGTAGAAGAAACATTTTATAGTGATAATTATTCCCGTAAAGCATACCCTTATTCTTTCTATGGAATTGTACTATCATATCTTCCATGCTTTTTGCTACAACTCACCGTGGAAGCGAGCAAGGGTGTGCCTTGATCTCCCGAGCAAGATGAATCAAAGCTACTAAAAGTGTAAGAACGAGGGGAGCAAGGCAACATCAAGCTAAGCACCACATCAAGTGCATGCATGGGCGGAGCTAGGGGTGGGCCAACCTAGGCCCTGGCCCACCCCAAATTTTAAAAATACCTTAATTTTTAGTGTAAAAAATTCCGATCTAAATTTTTTTTAAAAAAATTATTTGTACTGGCCCAGTGCGACCCAGTGCTCTGGCTGAGTGCATGGAATTTGCATTAATTATGACTCATGCTAGAATTGAAAGAACAAAATGATAAATGACTACTGAGCATATTTAACAAATTTATCACAACTTAAGTGCAATTGTGTTTTGAATTTGCCTGTGTGGGCTACGTGAGTAAGTCCAAGTAGTTTTGGAAAGAAGAAAATAAAAGGAGGAAGTTATAAAAATATTAGAAGAAGCAAAAAGGAAAAAGAAACGATCTATCTGAGCAGGAAAAATGCTTGAGGTACACAAAATGTGTACACAAAATGTGTCTGTCCTTCACAGAAATTTTGTCTGTCACAGACAGCTAAATTTTGAGTTGTCTGTGGCAGACAAAATTTCTGTGAAGGACAGACATGTGTACACCTAGCAAAACTCATCTAAGCGGTACGTTACGTTATACGACGTATGCGGTAATATGGTTCAGTTTTTGACTTTTTTCAACCATTTGTCACTAACTATTTAAAGTGATAAAAGTGGTGACAAACACTAGATTTACTCACAGATTCTATAGGTGAGAAAGGTGGTGAAAATAGTCACATAAAAGTGACTAATTTAAGTGAATGCAATACAGCTCAGTATCGATCCCTGTTATGCAGTGAATGCACAACACAACCTCTATCCCTTAAAATACAAAACAAGGACACACTTGAGTCATCAAGCAAGCAGCAGCTCAATAAACTTGTCCTTAATCTCAAGCAGTGGGTCCCGGTCAACCAGCTGATCACCCTTGTAAGCTTCCCTGAGCATAGCCGTCTTGATCCCTCCCTTCAAAGACACGTAAAACAGCCCCGGATGCCTCCCGAACAGGTTGGGGAATGCGTTTGAAAACCTGTACTCCTCCCCAAACTTCCCTAGAACTGGAATCGAAACCCTCTTGTGAATAGATAGGGAAAGCAGTTCGTGGAAGATTCCCACTGTTCTCTTCTCCATCTCTCTCGAACATTGTTCCAAGTTTGAGACATCCGCGTATGGGGATACATAAGGCAGTTCCATCCAATCCCTCACCCATTCCCTCATTTCCTTTTTTAAGAAGAAGCCCGGTGGAAGGATCCAGTCAAATGCCGGCATCACCCTTATCCCAGTTAACCTTGACTCTTCCTCTGCTCTCTGTTCGATCACTGATTTTGCAAAATCCTCATTCCAAGTCACCAATTCCAAGAACGCTTTCCCCTCACTACCCGCTAACAACCTGAAATATTCTGGGTATCTGGGAACCAGATTCACTAAAAAATCATTTGGGAACCCGAATTCCCTCTTGGCCTCCAACAATTTACCTGCGCTAATCACTCTATTCCTAGCCATCATCAGCAACTTACACAGCTTACAAACTAAAAAGCTCTCGTTTTGGATGTAAATCCTCTTCTCTTCTTCCAGGAATCGCCTCAGACCCGTACTTGCCCGTAGGAATGGGACGGGTTCAGACTTAGGTCGGATCCGATCCTTATATATGTCGAACAACCCCGGGTTTTGTGAAAGGAAAGTTGTGACGTTAACACGGAGAGAGAGCCTCTCCCGCCGTTTCTGCAAGTATCGGAGAGGAATTGCCTGACCGGGTTCGTTCATCACCTCTCTCACCACCCTTGCGCACAACCTCCATTTCTTGTCCTTCTCGATTGCTTCGTCTAGCTTTTGGTCCTTTCGCCAGGGGACTAATTTGAGGCTTGAAATTGAGGAGGCTGTCGCCACATATTGCATTGCAGCTCCGAGTCTACGGCGGCTGCTTGATGATGGGGAATACACGCTATATCCATAAATCAACATTACTGCTGCACAGCTGCCACACAAATACCTATTAATTGACACTAATGAATAATAACATCCATACAAACGAGTAATTACAAGAAGGGCTAAAGGGTTAAATAGGCCCTCGAACTAACATAAAAAGTGCAAATCACCCCTATATAGGAGGCTATGTCCGGCCGTCGCCATTTGGGGTGGTTCCCAGTGGAATTTTATGATGAAATTTTTTGAGCATCTTCTTCATTAAGTCTAGTTTACCCATATCAAATTTCAGATAAAATTTCAATCGGGAAGACAGTCAAATGATTTTCTGAAATGTATTGCGCTGTTTAACTGCGCAGTTATCTTCAAAAATTCATTTGACTGCCTTCCCGATTGAATTTTTAGCTAAAATTTAGTATTAGTAAACTAAACTTAATGAAGAAGATGCTCAAAAAATTTCATCAAAAAATTCCACCGAGAATCAACCCCAAATGGCGACGGCCGGACAAAGTCTCCTATATAAAAGGTGATTTGCACTTTTTAAGTTAGTTCGAGAGCCTATTTGACCCTTTAGCTTTACAAGAAGTAATGAAGTATGGGTCAAACTGATGTTATTTTTCAGATTTCATCATTAATATAGCACAAGTACCTCAACAATATATTGAATATTCAACCATTATATATGGTGAGCCCCGAATAACACACACAAACACCTATTAATTAACATAAAGCGATAACACCATCAAAATATACCAAGTTATCACAAGATATTTAGGTCAAAATTCATATTAGATATTGAATAATACAACAATCTACAACACGTACTTCAACACGATTGGATGTGGATGTCACTATCGCACATTCACAAATAAGTTCCTGTCGAACTACACTTTACATTTCACTCTCTGTTCATCTCATTCAGTTAGGTTCCAAACACATAAGTTACATGATAACAATTACCACATCACATTACTTCTAATAACATATTTGCTAATTATCATACCTTGGTTATTGTACAACATATACCCTATAGCTAAGCTAATATTTCCCTATCCTTCAAATACTGGTTACTCTGATGCTACATCAGTTACCAGTCCACTAGATAAATTACTTCATTTCACTTGCTACGATCCTATGTTATCATTCACACTAAAAATAATTTCCCATTCGCCAAGTTACTATATCAGTATATCACGCATACACAATCACAAAATACTCATTATGTTTGCTACGTTACTATTTTCCCGCACTTGGAGTTCCACTAATTTTAATTGTCCTCTCAACATACATCGGACCAAATCACATGGAACCCTCCACAAAAAACATCTGAACATAGCGAAATTCGAACATAGATGATTCACTGAATAAAATAACTTCACATAAATATTTACCTCTTCGTATTCTCCGTCCCATGTAGTTGCGTTTGATTCCGCTTCTGAAGTTTCCCAGACTACTATTTTACTTGATTAGTAATCTCCATGATTTCCTCCTCGACGCACCCGCCTCTCATCCAGAATTTTAGCCTTCAATTTCTTTTGTTTTGTAACAGTCCGGGGCAAGAATGACATTTGATTTGTTGGGTATTCTTTATTTCTTTCACACATACGTTTCAGACCGACTAGTCATTTTTTTGTCCACCTATTTTCTAGTAGTAATATTCATGTAATAAACTCTAATATATCACTCTTTTCGTATTTGTCCACCTATTTGTCCACCTCTTTCCCTAAAAGAAGTACATGTTCACTATTTGTGGCCAACTTAAATAGCTCTGAATCTTTTACATTATATATTACCCTTTTATCAAATTTGAAATTTCTTTGCGCGGTTATAATACTTTTAATACACTTTCTGATTATGTAAATTTTATAAGCTTAAAAATCATCTGAGTATTCAAAGGGATCCATTAACTTTATCACCAGTCAAACTTCGTAAACCAAAATGAAACTTGTTTTAAGGGACAGAAGGAGTACTCTGTAAGAGATTGCCAAAGGAGATTCCTCACTCATTGATAGAACATTGTGGATGAAAGTAAGGAAAATGTCTCTTGAAACTCCAACCCTTCTAATTCTCACGGAAAATTCAGGGTATCCAAGGTGCCGGTTGAATGGGTTGTTGATAATCATTGTAAAAATTTAATGCTGATTCTTTTTTGAGACTCATTGCATATCAAACCCTTCCGTATGCTCAAAATAATGATCTATAAATACATTTGAAGTTTGGTAAGACTCCACAGATATTTCTCACCACATCAGAACCCTTTCTCTACAATTCTTCCAAGAATCTTTACTTATTTTCAAATCTCAAGGAAAAAATTTGTGTGTCTATTAAGCAATGAGTTTGACTGAAGTCTAGCAACATGGATCGATCAAAGAAAGTGCCCTTCATTCTTATACGTTGTGTGAGGGCATATTTTTCCAAATTAAATCTTAATTATTAAGTTCCAAAATACAATGCCATACGTAAAAACATCAAAACTGAGAAAAACTATCACAAAATACAGCAGCACTATAATACCTAGATTACTGAGCAATGAAGAGTCAATCTGAACCCGGCAGGATTAGTTCAGTAGCGGCGAGCGACCCGGTCAATAGATAACTAATTAACTATCAATAATTAAGAATATGAACTAAAAGTTTATGAATACTCAACAACCAAGAAATCAATTAATTAATAAAAACGAAATTATTATAAACAAATCAAAGACCAAGAATCATCAGAATCATCAATCATTAATTGAATATTGGAACTTCAAATGAATTAATAAAAGTATAAACTAATCAACTAAAGTATTTTTTTTAAATAATCAACTAAAATTCTAAATTAAGAAATAAGGAACTACGGGGGGGCCGGGCTCACCTGAAGAGTCAAGAGCATGAAGGCTTTCTCTGATTGGTAAGGCCTGAGGCAGACAGGCAGTGAAGCCGTGAGGGGCTGAAGGCTAGTAGGCGACTCTGCACCAAGCAGCACAAGAAGGGTGAGGCCTGAGGATTGAGGAATAAGAAATTGACGAAATCCGGCAGGCGGCAGGCGGCAGGCGGCAGGCGGCAACCGACAAGCGTCGCCGCGTCGGCAGTAGCAGTTCGTGAGGTCAGAGTTCGTCCATGTTGCTGCTCGTCTGTTTCCGTATTTTTTGGCCCTTCGGACGATTGGGCCGGACAAAATAAATAATTTACTCAAACATATTGTAAAGAAAAAATCTAAAATTTCAATGGAACATAGGCTGATAATATTTTTTTGAATGAAATAGGCTTAAATTGATAACACATCATTCAGATAGTAGGTAATCCAATGAAAAAAATTCCTAACAACCGTCACCCCCGCGAACCAGACTCAGAATTAATCACTTCAAAAGATGCAATATAATTCATTGATCCATTAATGGGCACAAGTGAGCCAAAGATAGTTACTTCAATCCTTCCATCACCCGCATCTAAATTCATCATCTTACATAAAGGAAAAGCACAAACGAAACAAAACATAAAACAAAGTAAATTGTCACTACAGATAAAAAATAACGCAAATAAACTTGACTTGTTGTCCGAGCTTGCCGAACTGCACAAGCACCCAAATCTGCTGCAAATATTCTTACTGAACCAACTTAAGCGGACTAACTGGTCGAATCCAGCCCCTTCCCTGTTGTTTATCCTATCTAGAGTCATGATATCCTCTCCAACCTTGTGTTCTCCCTGGGTGTCCCAAATCCTGCTTCTCTTTTGTTCCCCTGAAGTTTCCTCCTTTGTTTCAGCTCCCACACCTTTAGTGATGCTCTGCGCTAATTCTAAAATACTCCCCCCCCCCCCCCCACTCACCACCCATCCTATCATCAGACTTATTATCCCTCGCATACCTACGGCTGCCAGAGCTCGATGAACCCTCCAGTAGCCATTTGTTACCTCCTGTAGGACTGGTCTTCATAGGTCAAAGGGAAAAATTTATCTGAATGCCCAATCAATCCACAAATAAAGCAGAAGATGGGTAGTTTTTCATACTTGAATTCTACACAATAACTCTTTCCTTCTTTCTTCAGATTTGGTACCTTTTCTCAGAGATTTATCCACATTCATACACACCCTGATCCCCATATAAGACTCCCACTTCTCACTCTTTTGGTTATCATCATATCTTATAAATCTTCCAATAAAACTTCCAACTCGTCTGGCAGTTTTTAGATTTTCTAGGTTATATGGAACATTATGAACTTGAACCCAAAAATCAGCCTCATTTAAAACAATCTTATGCGGAATATTATCAAACTTCTTTCAAAATCAACAGATTACGCTCAAATTGCCAAGGGCCACCATCAATCACACGATTCATATCAACACGATGATAAAAAGTAAACAAATACCTTTTTTGTCAACTTCTTTGATCGAGATTCCTTTCCCTGGCCTCCAAAGCGAAGACATGAGTTCTTTGAACGCTGGAAATTTTACCTTCCTGTCTGTTAGTAGCACCTACACCATCGGAAATCTCGGGTTGGTCTCCTCTATCGGAGCATCCTCTGCATCAAATTCATCAAGGTCCAGATCATCTTCCTCTGCCCCTATCCCCATTTTTTTGTACTTGTCCACAAAACCCTCCATTCAATAAATTGCTTCTTAGTCTTCCTGCCGAGTGCGCCGCCACACCCTTACGATTCCTCAGCCTTGAATTAAGTAAGTTGAACATGAAATTAGTATAAGATCATAGATGATAAATATGAGAGAGGTATTTATAGATTTTTTATCCCACTTTTACCCCACCAATTATATGTATGTATATTTTTATATATGTATGTAAGCAATTGAATAATGGTTCTCTAAAAGTTTTATAATGAACAAAGGACCAAACTATTGGGCGTTAGTAAGAACCAAATTAGTATGGAGTACAAAATCAAAGGAAGAACTCCCTAAATAGGTCCAAAACATGTTCAATTTTCAAAAATAAGAGTTAATGTTTTACGATTTCAAAAATGCGTTTATATATGTATATTTTGACGCAGTCAACTTCAAAAAATGATTTGAATGCCTTCCCGATCGAATTTTGAGCTGAAATTTGGTATGGACAAACTAGACTTGATGAGAAACATGCTCAAAAAAATTCATCAAAAAATTCCACCGGGAAGGGCCCCAAACGTCCATGTTCGGACGGTGTTCGGACCAGGAATGTTCGGACCTGAACCTCTATAACTTATTATTTGTGATTAGACAAAAATACTCGTATAGAAATTGGAGCACTACTATGACTATCGCCAGTCACCTAAAGTCCACCATCACTCACCACCTTAACTGCTGCCACCAAGGCATGGACTAGGCCGGTTCGGGCCCAAATATTTTTTTTATTTTTTCGAATGAATTGGGTGCTACGCGAGTTGGGTTGGGTGGTTTGGGGGGTGGGGTAGGAATAAATAAGAAAAACCAATTTAAAAAAAAAATAGACCCAACCCGTTCCGGCCCGGGCCGGTTCCGGGCCTTCAATTCCCAAACCTAGTCCCACCCAAATCCGGGCCCGAGGCCGGTCCACCCGACCACCCCTACTGCCACCACTACTGGACTGCCTTGGATATATTTGGGAATTATGGGGCAATCAATTAGATTAATTACTCGTATCATTGTACGGAGTAATATTTAATTCTATTGAAAGAAAATGAAACTTGTAATCTTATTTAGGGAATGTGTTTATGTTTTAGTCCTCTTTAGATCAATTTTCTCTTAATTAATAACTCATGAATAGAAGTTGAATTGAACCAAGTTATTACAATTTACTTGATACTTGAAATCTTTCAAAAAAAACCCAATTTACTTGTAATGATTCTCACTTTACTAGTTCTTGGCTCAAAAATCAAGCTGAAGATGTAAAACAGAATGCTAAATTTATGATAGGAAGAACTATACAACGTTCAAATTCAAGGCTATCGTGTAGAATTGCAAATAACCAAAAATTATCATGTAATTTTCTAACTTCTAAGGAGTAAGGAAACGATAATATCAAGTTATCAACGTTCAAACTCAAGGCTATCATTCTCATTGCACCAATGTATAGCCCCAAGGCCCCCAACCAATGGGAATTGTCTGATTAAAACATAGGCACAGAGCTACACAAGTTCACACATCATCAACGACAAAACCCGCCACATGATGTATACATGAAACACTCCAGAAATCAATCATGAACATTTGGAGAACAATAGTTTGATATGCTACTGGCCAAATTACTGCAAAAGCACACTGATTGATTGAAGTAAATGGCAAGCAGGAGCAGAGAAAGACGCAACAAAAAGATCATTAGCGATTCAATCTTCAAACATCGGGAATGGGAGTTATTGGGCGTTTCATCGAAGCCGACTTGATTAGGTGGTTGTAACTACCTTTCTCCTTGAACAATTGGGAGAAGTGAGGCTTGCAATACAAGATTCCATCCAAAGCTGCATAGTTTGAGGGTGTTAAGGAGCATCCTCCGTGAGAACACTTAAAACACGACTTGTGGTCAGTGGCGGAACCAGGACTCGTGACCCGCAGGGGCACAATAACAAAGAAATCATATACTCCCTCCGTCCCGGGGAGAAGTTCCCGAGTTGACTTTCACAAATTTTTAGGAAATAAAGTTACCGAGGGGTAAATTTTACTCTTTTGCACTGTTTCGACACTGTGTGGCACTATTTCGACACTATATGACACTGTTTTGCACTGTTTGACATTGTTTTGATGTAGAATAACTTTCCATTTAGGGAAATAGGAAGTTTCTTTTGGGACATCCAAATAAGGAAAATGGGAACTTGTTTCCGGGACGGAGGTAGTACTACTCTAACAAAAATCATATGCATCGCATATATATCATTAAACAAAACTATAAAATTTAAATAAAACAACTACTAAAATAGCTAAACGCAGGGGGTTGAGTTGGGCGTTCGGACTTGGCCTTTACTCTTTAGGCTTTTGGGGACTTGGGCTGCGGGCTGCTCCAGAAAGATTTCTATGCTTGGGCTGGCACAAGAGAAAGGTTAAGGTAAAGGACTTTTGGGATTGGGCTGCAGGTGCTCAACTAATGAAATATAAATATATGTATATATATTATAAAAAAACAAAAATACCGCAGGTGCACGGGCACCTCCGGGCACTGGGCTGGTTCCGCCCCTGCTTGTGGTAGGATTGGTTCTCAACTGTCACCTGAAAGTTGTATATGAAAAAATTCATGACATGAAAACCAATGCACAATACTGGCTGTATGAGAAACAGGAGGCCCAACGGAAGTAGGAAGGTTCAAGACGTCCCGAACGGGGATACCTGAACGACATTCGGGTGGATTTGTCCACTTGAGACAATCAACGGAGTACTGACATCAAGCACCCTCAAAGGGGCCCACACACCGAACGTTCTACCCGAATGGGTGCCAGCAAGTGGGAGGCGCATTTAATGCTGAATTATGGCCACAGCAAGTAGAGGCATGGGTGCATTTCGTGACAGGGGTAACAGCCTACCGGGTTCAGCCACGTGTCCATCTCATCCATCCCCTCTCTAGTATAATACCTGGGCTTAATACATTGTAAAGGGTTAGCATTTTCATACTCAGAGCTTAGCAATAGAATCATCTCTCTTGTATTGTATTCAAACTCGTACCGACATACCGTTCGGGCAGTTATATTGTAATCACCGAATTACTTAATACAAGTTAGTTCCCGGGTACTTCCCAATTCACTATTTTTTATATTTGATGCACTTTCTAAACCAGAACCAAACGTCCTTAATATTCAAAGCGTGTGTTGGGCTTTCGGATCTACGGGAGAAAACCTCAACAACAGACTCTTTCCCCCCACCACCCATCCTATCATCTGACTTATTATCCCCCGCATACCTACGGCTGCCAGAGCTCGATGAACCCTCTAGGAGCCATTTGTTACCTCCTATAGGAGTGGTCTTCATAGGTCAAAGGGAAAAATTTATCTGAATGCCCAATCAATCCACAAATAAAGCAGAAGTTAGGTAGCTTTTCATACTTGAATTCTACCCAATAACTATTTCCTTCTTTCTTCAGATTGGTACCTTTTCTCAGAGATTTATCCACATTCATACACACCCTGATTCTCATATAAGACTCACACTTCTCACTCTTTTGGTTATCATCATATCTTATAAATCTTCCAATAAAACTTCCAACTCGTCTGGCAGTTCTTAGATTTACTAGGTTATATGGAACATTATGAACTTGAACCCAAAAATCATCCTCATTTAAAACAATCTTACGCGGAATATTATCAGGCTTAACTTCTTTCAAAATCAACAGATTACGCTCAAATTGCCAAGGGCCACCATCAATCACACGATTCATATCAACACGATGATAAAAAGTGAACAAATACCTTTTTTGCCGACTTCTTTGATCGAGATTCCTTTCCCCGGCCTCCAAAGCGAAGACATGAGTTTTTTGAACGCTGGAAATTTTACCTTCCTGTCTGTCAGTAGCACCCCCACCATCGGAAATCTCGAGTTGGTCCTCTCTATCGGAGCATCCTCTGCATCAAATTCATCAAGGTCCAGATCATCTTCCTCTGCCCCTATCGCCATTTTTTTGTACTTGTCCACAAAAAATTAAGTAAGTTGAACATGAAATTAGTATAAAGATCATAGATGATAAATATGAGAGAGGTATTTAAAAAAAATTATCCCACTTTTACCCCACCAATTATACATATGTATATTTTTATATATGTATGTAAGCAATTGAATAATGGTTCTCTAAAAGTTTTATAATGAACAAAGGACCAAACTATTGGGCGTTAGTAAGAACCAAATTAGTATGGAGTACAAAATCAAAGGAAGAACTCCCTAAATAGGTCCAAAACATGGTCAATTTTCAAAAATAAGAATTAATGTTTTACATTACATAAATATAACTTATTATTTGTGATTAGACAAAAATACTCGTATAGAAATTGGAGCACTACTATCGCCAGTCACCTAAAGTCCACCATCACTCACCACCCGAACTGCTGCCACCAAGGCATGGACTAGGCCGGCTAAGGCCCAAATATTTTTTTCTTTCGGATGAATTGGGTGCTACGCGAGTTGGGCTGGGTGGTTTGGGGGGTGGGGGTAGGAATAAATAAGAAAAACCAATTTAAAAAAAAAAACTAGACCCAACCCGTTCCGGCCCGGGCCTGGAACCAACACGGGCCGGTTCCGGGCCTTCAATTCCCAAACGTAGTCCCACCCAAATCCGGGCCCGAGGCCGGTCCACCCCTACTGCCACCACTACTGGACTGCCTTGGATATGTTTGGGAATTATGGGGCAATCAATTAGATTAATTACTCGTATCATTGTAATATTTAGTTCTATTAAAAGAAAATGAAACTTGTAATCTTATTTAGGGAATGTGTTTATGTTTTAGTCCTCTTTAGATCAATTTTCTCTAAATTAATAACTCATGAATAGAAGTTGAATTGAACCAAGTTATAACAATTTACTTGATACTTGAAATCTTTCAAAAAAAAAACCCAATTTACTTGTAATGGTTCTCACTTTACTAGTTCTTGGCTCAAAAATCAAGCTGAAGATGTAAAACAGAATGCTAAATTTATGATAGGAAGAACTATACAACTAGGCATGGATCCGGTTCGGGCCGCCCGGCCCGGGACCGGCCCGGCCCGCCACTGTGCGGGCCCGGAACCGGCCCGGTTCTCAGGTCCGGGTCCGGGTCGGGCCTAGGCCCGGTGGGGGGGCGGGTCCGGGCTCGGGCCTTGTATTTGGCGAACCGGCCCGGCCGGGTCGGGCCCGGGCCGAATTGATTTTTTTTTTTTTTTTTTTTCATTTTTTGGGGTTAGTTGGGTTGGACTTGATGGTTAGGAGGGGTTTGGGGGTTTGGGGGGTGGGGGGGGGTTAGGAAAGCAAAAAAAAAAAAATTATGACCGAACCGGAGGCCCGGCCCGGCCCAGCCCGGACCCGGACCGGACCCGGTGGCTACCCGGGCCGGTCCCGGGCCTTCCTTCCCAAAAAAAAGCCCGGCTGGGCCCGGCCCGGGTCCATGACTATATACAACGTTCAAATTCAAGGCTATCGTGTAGAATTGCAAATAACCAAAAATTATCATGTAATTTTCTAACTTCTAAGGAAACGATAATATCAAGTTATCAACGTTCAAACTCAAGGCTATCATTCTCATTGCACCAATGTATAGCCCCAAGGCCGCCAACCAATGGGAATTGTCTGATTAAAACATAGGCACAGAGCTACACAAGTTCACACATAATCAACGACAAAACCCGCCACATGATGTATACATGAAACACTCCAGAAATCAATCATGAACATTTGGAGAACAATAGTTTGATATGCTACTGGCCAAATTACTGCAAAAGCACACTGATTGATTGAAGTAAATGGCAAGCAGGAGCAGAGAAAGACGCAACAAAAAGATCATTAGCGATTCAATCTTCAAACATCGGGAATGGGAGTTATTGGGCGTTTCATCGAAGCCGACTTGATTAGGTGGTTGTAACTACCTTTCTCCTTGAACAGTTGGGAGAAGTGAGGCTTGCAATACAAGATTCCATCCAAAGCTGCATAGTTTGAGGGTGTTAAGGAGCATCCTCCGTGAGAACACTTAAAACACGACTTGTGGTAGGATTGGTTCTCAACTGTCACCTGAAAGTTGTATATGAAAAAATTCATGACATGAAAACCAATGCACAATACTGGCTGTATGATAGCCGACTAAAAATTATGCAAGAAAAGGATTATGTGATCAAGTTTTTTCCATTATTTAGTATGCACTATGCAGTTATTCCTTGACAGTTGACACTAAGCTATTTCCTTTTATTAAGAATCGAAGTTCATTGAGTAATATTTTATTCTTTTAGAAGTTTTTTGTTATGTCATCTCACATCAAGCAAATAAAAAATTATGAACTCACATATAAAGCTTGCACTAGGCTTTATCACCTTTTCAAAATAGTTGAGTTTTAATATAGTACCTCAGGTCATTAAAAAGAGACAACAATCTAGAAATAAAAATATTGGGCATCCCAACTTCTTTTCAGCATATAAGAGCTAAGAGCTTAAGATGGCAAATCTACTTTTGCAGACACATCAATACATCATATATTGATCCAGTCCTGTGTACTAAGATGAAATATTGCAAGAAATCGAACAGAAAGCTACAATCACAATCAGTATTTAATTAATAAATTGACATGCATAATTTGCTCCTTTCTCTATATGAATGATGTCTTGAAAGCATACTAAATCAGTAATATTTAAAATTTATAATTTTGAAAAAAACATCTGCTTATGAAACTATTTATAGACTCGTTTCTATAAAACCTCAGTACATATATGCAATCCTCCTATCATTTCACATAAAAATAAATATAAAATCATGTTTAAAAGAGTGCTACTATTTTGTTAACCTCACAACAATATTAAATAGACATTTTGTGTTAGTAAAGAGAGACATAACATTGAGTGAGACAGGACAATCGGTTCTATTCAATCTCTTGATGTGATTTAATAAATACAACCAAGTCATCCCCATCAAATAAATACAAAAGCATACATGAAGAGACAAGACTTTGGACTACTCACGTTCAGTTGACATTCTAAGATATAAACTCAAGTCTTAATATGATATCAAAATATATTAAGCTCAATTAAGTAATTTGATCACGACGATCCTAAAAAGCAAGCATGCAATTACATAATACGGAGTATATTAACTGATAAACTACATAATTGGTTGCTAGTGTCTTTATACACCCAGAACCTATTCGGCTTTCTTGTGTATTTGTGATTGGATTTTCGTTTTAAAGTAGCATTTCAACTAAATCAGTTAGGGTGCTTATCAGCCAAATACAAGTAACACACCAGACATTGCATGCATGGTTGAGAATTATATTATGTGTGTAAGACTTTTAAATTTGTTCAGGGTAACCTTCTCCAGAGGGTAAGCCGTCTTCCCACAGGTAGCACATTTTTCCTGAGTCCCAGAGAACATTCCAGCAGCTTTGCTACGGGACCTTGTCTATGTACCAAAGGGGTAAAATTAATACAAAAATTAAATAACCAAAAACTATGATACCAATAAATAGGTCAGAACAAAATTTACCAGCTCCGGAGTTAACTTTTCAGCTGATTTGGCAGCTGCTGAAGGCAGTGGAAGCATATAAAAATTATTAAGCACATCAGAGGAATCATTAAGATTCTTTTTATAGGATATATCTAATGGCAAACAAAAAGATATGACTTACGCGACTGGAAGTTCTTATTGAAATTCCCGGATTCCCTGAAGAGCTGCTCAAAATGAGGTTTACAGTACAAAACACCTTCCATCGACGAGTAATTACTCAGCTATCAATCCACCACAAGTAACATGATCCAAATCAAAATGATTGAATATTACAGACTATTGCTATTAAAATTTGATATTCCATCCTAAAATTGTTCAAAATGTTGACTCCGTGGAGCAGACCAACCTTCATAAGCAATGAATATGACAAATTAATGCGATTAAAATTTGAGATTTTATCCTAAAAGGTCTCACGAATGGTCACCCATTTGAACATACAAATCTTGATATCATTGTGCCCATTGTTAATTTGTTTTAATTTTATCCTAAAAGGTCTCACAAATGGTCACCCATTCGAACATACAAATCTTGATATCATTGTGCCCATTGTTAATTTTGTGTTAAGTTTATGAGGATTATTTTTTTGATAGGATATCACGAATTTGGAATTCCATCCTAAAAAGTCACATTTATTGTAAATAGCTTAAGTTTTACATGTTTGTTTCTGTTTTATTTTTTCCCTATGTACAATGGCTTAACACTCTGCTCACCCTAGCAAAAGGGTGTTATTCAAAATCGAACATTTAACTTTAATTAAGCCCATCAACATTTAAAAGAGTACAATTGACAATATTAAAACACAGAACATAAGTTGAGGAATTTCACTTCTTGTCATGCTCTTAAAGATAATTGGATAAAGATAAGAATGTTACCTTAAGAGTGCCTTTGCAATGGGTGCATCTGAAGCAAGACTTATGATAAATAACTCCATCAGCTGACAATAGCTCCACAGGATACACTGTCTTCTCACAAGCCTTGCATTTCTGTTGAGTCCCAATGAAAGACATCCCCTCCTCTTCCTCTTCTACTTCTTTTTGTGTACCTAAAATCCAATCAAAGAAAATTCTAGATCTGACCCTCCACACCCAAGATTCAAACTCAGAACCAAACACCTAAAAATCCAATCTTTCCCCCTATTTCCAATCTTGATTGCCATTTTAAGCCGATTTGATGCTAGAATTTTCAAGCTCAATTGCCCAAAAGGGAAACTAAAGTGACATGAGATCTCCTATTGAGAAATGAGAAAGCAAACCTTGAGAAAAAAGTTTTGATCTAATTGATAGTCTCGAAAGGCTTGAGCAAAGCAGAGTTGAGTTCCAGAGACCAAATAAATTGCTATGGAGAAGTAGATTCCAGTGGAGGAATGTAAAAACAGTGTCCAACTGTCCGTACGTTGTGTCTTAGAGGAGAGAGAATGAGGAGAGAGAAATAGAACAAAGATATCGTCCCTCTGCTCAAGTCTTCGGCTCCACTTATCTGGTCGAAATAGCACATTGCGCGGCTTTTTTGACACCAAAAGTTTTAGAACACGTTTGGTGATCAAGAAAGTAATTTTAAGGTGCATTGTCACTAGGGGATATTTTTCGATAAAGAATAAAGAGAAAATATAGGTGAACAGTATGCTACCACTCTGTATATAGAGTGTTTCATGATTCATGTAGAGTATGTTTGCAAACATGCGCAGTTATCTTCAAGAATTAATTTGAATGTGTTCCCGATTGAATTTTTAGCTGAAATTTGGTATGAGTAAACTAGACTTGGTGAATAAGATTCTCAAAAAATTTCATCAAAAAATTCCACCGGGAACTTCCCCAAATCGCGACGGCCGGACAAAACCTCCTATAGAAGGACTTAATTGACCTTTTTATGAAAGTTCGAAGACCTATTTGACAGTTTTCCATTTTAATATACTTTTGAAAATTTTACAAAGTAATTAGTAAAGATGATACATCGTTGACAAAAATCACACTAAATCTAAGAAATCATTCATCAATTGTCAACTTATATAGGTAGTATATTCTTATATATACTCTCCTTCAATTAAAACATTTACGCACTTCGTACTTCGTTGTGTCATCGAAGTCATCTGTTATGACTTCTATATATTTATAATAAAAACTAGAACAAAAACAACACCATTGGCTTAGGAACTTGGATCAACAGTTAATACAAATTAGTTTCAATGATTATTTAATCACTAAAAAACATTAAATACATATTAGTAGAAATAAATAGCATTAGTAATCAAACAAAAAATAGCAGAGAACCAATTTGGACGGCTAGTCCATCTTAAGCTGAGATTGGTTTTTGCCTTAATATATTAACCAATCAGTATAGCAAAACCAATAATAATTGCAATGAATATTATCAATTGACATATGATGCCAGAAACAGACAAGTGCTTGTTCTGATTTTCTGAAGTTTACTATGGTACATACTTGGGCTATCCTTTCATCTAACTTTGACAAGCATTTTTTAATCATTTCATCTATAATGTGAGGAATATATATGTATACCAAGTCATAGTATATGCACCAACAGTCCAACATAAACAAGATCGGTATAATTTAAGAAGTCGGTCGCAATTCACACAATTGTGTATGTATTTTTCATTTTTCTATACCTATGTATCATTTTCTATGTAAAATGCTCAAGTAGTAGCAGAAGCTTTAATAAGGATGGATGTAATTTTTTCGCTTCCGATGTTCTAAACTGAGCTTTAACTTGATCTTGAAATAGGGCTTGGTAGTCCAAAAACACGCGTGAATGAAGATTGGCTAGTTAGAACATCCAAATGGCTACTAATAGCGGCTACAATGTGAAATCCCGGCTCTTCCAAAGCTTTCCTTTGCATGAAGAAGTATTCCCGAGTATCTGTCTGCTTTTCATGCTCTTTTCTGCAATAGGATAGCCCATTAGTCATGCTATTCAGGAGCTCACAAGTACTAATCAACACAAATGACAAAAGAACTACCAGTTTCAAGGGACAATTCTCGCGCTAAATAACTATATATATACTATATCAACATATTATGCACTTGACCACTCCTTACAAGATCATAAATATACATTTTTATTACTTTTTGTTCAAGTGCCTATCTCAAACCGATTTAATATGAAATAAGAAACTAATTTATAAGATCCTATAGTATTTATAAGTTTGACATTTTAGTATGAAACTCCTCATCTTAATAATATTTTAGAATTAAATAATTCACGCAATATCCAATATTTATGCATTGCTAATAGGTGCCTGTTGTTGAGCAACCGAGGCAACAACTATAAAATATATAGAAGAGGGAATACCTCATAAATAGTGATGACCAACCACTGCATCCCAATGAAAGAAGATATTCTACTGTGGCATTACGCAACTTCTCAGGCATTCTTGATACCAAAACCAAATTCAGCCCACTGGCCTGAAGTTTCATATACAACTTTGAGACAAAAACCTGTTTGGGGCATTTTATGTACCCTTCTTTACAATTAGAGCAACCATTTTCTTCAACTCTGTCAAAAGATAGACCACCATTAGTCTAACTTTGCTCGTAAACAGCCTAAAAAGATGACATAAGGAAGCACTTCTTAGCTATTAAGTTATCAACTTGTGACACATATTAAGTTGTTTCACATCGAACCAATATAATGCAAAGTGAAATATAAATATGTATAACTAACCATTAGTATTATGAGCGAATGAGCTGCCATTTTGTGGGGCACGAGGACATGTTAAGTTATTTCACATTGAATACATATATTAATTCAAACGAACAATGAACATATATAACTATTTACACCATCAGTTTAAGTTTGGCAAGATGAAACGAAAATCTTAATACAAAGAAAACTTGTTAAGATTAGACTAGAAGAAGGGAATTGTATGAACCGTTGAAATGATTGATCTTCAGGGAAAAAATCATCGACATCCATCAACACAACATCACAGCCATCTTTAAGTGGTTTGATTGTGCCAAAGTAATTCTCAATCATCTGGACTGTGTCATTGAAGTCCTCCATGGGTTGGCCTTCTGTGATGTATGGAACTGAGGAATATTTACAAACTTCTGGGAAAGAATCTGAATTCAAACTACTCAGCACCATATGCATTGCAAAAGGCAAGCAGTGATGATAATAATAAGTGGATTTGGGAACTTGAAGAAGATTCTCTACAACCCCAGAACGTTTACTTTGACAAGATTGTAACATCACAGTTAAGGTAATTACTAGTGTCACCAGTGAAACCCCAACTGTCACAAGCCCAGCAAAGAAGACAGTGGCTGCAAACGGTGACATGTAAATTCCCGATTCCATGGTGAAATGACTTCCCATTTCTGCGCAAGTTGTTATCAATAAACAAATTTAAACACAATATTCAAAAAATGTGTTAGAACAGAGTTTGTTTACTACTACGAATTATGTATTGATTAAATTGAAAGATACAAATCAACATAGAACATCTTGTATGTTAGTCTTCCTATGAAACACCTTGGAAGCGTATTCTAAAGCATCATCTTTATTGAAATTCGGTGTTCCATAACAAAAAGAGTAGTAGCCCATAATCTTATACTCATATACTCCGTATATGAGTTTGTATATTTTAATTTTGTTCTTATGGTCCCCTCATAATCCTCTATCAAAACAGAACCTTAAGGTAGAACGCAACTTTTAAATAAGATAGGAAAATCCATTAAGGTCAAAAACAAGCAATTTGATAACATGAAGTCTAAATGACAACACATTAACCCCATCCCAAACCAAAGAATACCTTCATTAAAGTTTCTCATATCTTTGATTTAATCACGATAAGGAAAAATTTAGTGTGGCTGGGTGTTGTGATCAAAGGCCTGCTGAAAACAAAAACAAAAAAGTTGAAATACGAACCTGAATTTTCTCTGCTTGAAAGACTGTGAGCAGAAAAATCTCTTTCCATCAAATGGCCATATGCAGACATAATTATCAGTTCAGAGCCTTAATAAAACTCAAAACACAATCTTTAAACATACAATGACCAGATTCCCTTCTAGTAGCGGGTAAAAGCCTGCATTTTTAATGGGTAAACCAACTATTCAATAGCAGATCAAAAGAAGATAGTATGTGTATGCCAAAAGCCTACATACAAACCCACAAAATGAATTTAGATTACAGCTTAAAAGTTTGCACTTTTTCATTATCATTTATTATTGAATGAGAATATGAGATGACAACAGACCACACAATTTTTTCATTATATTTATACCAAATGAAGAAATGGGCACAGATTAATAATTGGGAAATAGATAGAAATCGGAAGAGCAGATTGGTTGCCTTACTACAGTTTAACAGACTGAACTGGGGATTGGGAAAGACGGAGTGAAAGAGTTAGAGCAATTTTATTTATAAACAAAGCATTAAATTATAAAAAGAAAGAGGCAAAAGGAGTGGGAAACGCGAGACTTCCATGATCTCCATGTGATTGCCGAGAGAATAATTTAATTAGATTGAAGACCTCATGGGCACTTGCAAGTTACAACGGGAGGGTATCTATTCTATTCAAAAAGAAAGAAAAATGACACATAAAACATTACTCCAATAAAATTCATTTTAAAAGACAAAAAAAATCATTTTAAATTTGGCTTACTACTTAACTGAGACCGGAAAACCGGTCCCTGGCCGGTCTCAAATATTGTCGGAACTAGCGGATCGGGTTCACCCGCAAACTATTAGGTGTGTCTCGGAAACAAGAACAACAATAATATCTAAGTCTTAGTCTCAAATGATATTGGGGTCGGTTAACATGAATCGATACATGATATCACCACCAAAAGCTAAAGAAAAAAAATAAAGTTAAAAAATAAGCTATTATAAAAAGATAATATAAAACGAGATGAATATACCTAAAGATGATAAAATAAAAAGGATAAAAATAATGTTTATATGTAAGGATAAAAGAATAAAAAAAACAAGAAGAAAAAAGATGAGGGGAAAACATATCCTCCACACGAATATCTGCCCTCCACTTTGCTCTCTCCAAAGCCTTACCCTCATACAACCCAAGAAGAAGCATATCACTACGGACTCCCCTAACCCACGTCTGTTTGGATCTTCCTCTCCCTCTCTTCTGTGTCTCTTCTCCACACATCTCAACACGTCTGACAGGTGCATCATTCGGTCTTCTACGCACATTACCAAACCACCGTAGGCGAGACTCCCACATCTTGTCTTCAATAGGTGTGTCTCGGAAAAACGAAGAAAAATCAATTAATTAAAATTAATTTAAATGACCAAAGAAAAACAGAAAAGAGATGGCACAGAAAATAGTCAAAGCTTGTGCAACGCATAATATCCTAAAAACATATTCGTTGCCTCCTACGGTGTTAGGAGCGTTGCAACGATCGTTTCCCAGGATACGATAACTACGAACAATCGTTGAGCACTCAAACAAATTGTTCCGGCGAACGGAAAACACAACAAGAACACTACGGAAATTTGCAGAATGCTAGAGGTGTATTTGAGCTGAAAACAACATGAAGAACGCATTGTTTGTCGAGTTGTTATAAGGCACCTGACAACCTTTTATAGGGAAGGATTTGTTGAGTTGTAGCTGTGTAAGGATTTTATCAACGTAATGAGATTGGCTTAAAACAAGACTGTCTGGTCTCATATCGTCAAATTTAGAATTTAACATAGCTTTTTTTTTAACATTGTGGAAACTTTATTAGTGATGATTTAAAATAATACACTGGAAGAGTATTTAGATCAAAACATGCTATTACACTACACCAAAAGGCAAGACTACAACAGATTCATCAGATTAAGGCTTATTATACAAGTGTGAATCGTCCTCGAGCGGAATTACATGACCCTTGGCTTTAACACAATAGTGGAATGCTTCAAAATGTGAAGACTGAACTGCCCGCCCTTCTCACTGGTATCAACCTTGGACTGCCCCGGTGGCGGCAAGAGCTCGAAATTCTGGACTATACGCCCCAAGACAATCCCTAGTATGGGGCCTATGGGCAGCGCCAGGATTATCCCTGGGCAGCTCTTCCTCCCTACCCCAAAGGGCAGGAACCTGAAGTCATTCCCATTGGCCTCAACGTGCTTCTCCTCTTCCAAGAACCTTAGCTTTCAGGTCTGAACTCTTGGGGCTTTTTCCAAAGGGGCACCATGCATTGACTAAGATTTTGCTCTCAGCCGGAATGTCATACCCGCCGAGCTTGGCTTCGTGGAGGTTCATGTGTGGGACAAGAAGTGGGATGGCCATTCTTAGACGAAGAGTCTCCTTGATCACGGCCTGAAGGTAAGGAAGCTTGTGGGTACGTATCTGGTTCAGTGATTTGAACGCCAGGCCCGAGGACTGTGTCGATCTCATGACGGAGCTTCTTCTGGATGTGTGGATGGTTGACTAGCTCCGCAATGCCCCCACTCAATTGACCAGAGCGTAGTTTCGATTGATGTTCTCGACAATGTAAAGGACGTTATCTTCATTGATCTCTCCCTTCTGTTCCGCTTCCAGAATATGATCTATAGCACATTTCAGACTGTTGTTATTCATCTTCTTTGTGCTTGAAATATTCTTCCTTTCGTCAACAAAGAAGTCCGGCCTTGAATAGCTTCAACCTCCTCTCCTGAAGCTCCTTGCAAATCTGCCTCTAAAAAATGGTCTCAAAACAGGAATGAAATCTCCATAGTTATAAACAAAGCTCTGAGCCAATCTGCTCCTCTCGCCGTTCAATGCCTTGAGCTTGATGAACACAGGATCGTCCTCGCTCTCAAATCTTCTGTCGAACATAATCCGGTACATGTTGTTGTACATCATAAGTTGCAGCCGCCGCCTCAACACGACTCCGGATTCTTCTTCACGTCCTCCACCACGCTCTCGATTTCCGCCTCCCACCCGGCCCGGTACTGCTGGACCACCTTATTGGTGAAAAACGGGACCGTCATAATCCTCCGCATCTTCCGCCAGTGCTCGCCGTAGACGGTGAACACCATGTCCTGAACCTTCCCGGTGAAGATATCGAAGACAACATTCCGGGTGCGAGACCCAAATTCGACCCCCTGCGTGTGGAGAACCTCCTTGGCGAGCTCCGGCGAAGAGACGACCACCAAATTCCTCTGCCCCATTCTCAGAAGGAAAACGTCGCCGAATTTCTTAGCGTGCTCGGTGAGGTTCCGGTGGTTCAAGTCATCGCCGACTTGGAGCCAGTTCCCGAACAACGGCACTGGGATCGGGCCCGGCGGGAGCTTGAACTTTTTGCCACGAAGCTTGTAGACAACTACAGCCACTACGATGGCGAAGAAAAGGCCCACGAGAGCCTTCTCTATGAGGAGAAGATCCATTTTGAACCAGAGCTTGAGTGATTTAGAATTTAACATTAGATTGTTGATACTTAGGGGGTGTTTGGAACTGATTCTGCTTCTGCTTCTTTTTTAAAAGCAGAATCAGAATCAGAATCAGTTTTCAGAAGCTGGTACCTCCTAGCTTCTAAAAAAACTGATTCTGAGAGTATATTAGAGCTCCAGAAGTGTTTCTGGATTTTCACCCAAACACTCCAGCTTCTGCTTCTGCTCCCTGAAGGAGCAGAATCAGTTTTGAGAATCAGATCCAAACACCCCCTTAGTATATCATCCACGTATAAACACAAAATGACATAGTTATCTAGTGTATTCTTCACATAGACGCATTTATCACTTTCGTTTATTTTAAACTCATTAATTAATATTGCATGATCGAACTTTTTGTGTCACTGTTTAAGGGCTTGTTTCAATACATACCATGATTTAATTAATTTACAAACTTTCCTTTCTTTGCCAGGAACACAAAAGCTCTTGGGTTGTTTCATATAGATGTTTTCGTCTATATCACCATTTAGAAAAGCGGTTTTTACATTCATTTGATGAATCCACCTGTGATTTTATAGGATAGAGTTCACCTCACTTTTGATGGCTTCTTTTCATATAGGACCTTCGATAGACATCACGACTTCGGTATAAGTTTGAGGCTCATTTTCTACCAAACATGCTAGAAAATCCGCTTCGTTTTGACGTGTTTGGTCCTTCGTTGGACTTGCATGGAAATACATCTTCAAAGAATGAGACATTCCTTGATTCAATTATTGTGTTTTTATGTAAATCCCGATTATTCGAATCGTACACTAAAAACCGATGAGCACTATTATTTTGTGCATATCCAATAAAAATACAATACACCATTTTTAGACCTATTTTTATTTTGGTAGCTGTCGGTACAAGCACCTTTGCAAGACACCCACACACTTTTAAATATTGATAGGAAAACTTTCCACCTTTCCACAACTCGTAGGGAGTTTCTCATATTTTTTTCCGGGGAATCATATTTAAAAGGTGGTTGCTTGACAAGACTGTATCGCCCCACATATTTTGTGGCAGACCCGAACTTTCTAGCTTCGCATTTATCATGTCTTTCAATGTGCAATTCTTTCGTTCGGCATCACCGTTTGATTGGTGTGAATAGGGTGTGGTACGTTCATGTACTATACCCACGCTTTCGCAAAATTCACCAATTGGTGCTTCATACTCACCACCTTGATCACTTCTAACCGTTTTAATCTGTCGATTAAGTTGGTTTTCTGCTTCATTCTTATAAAGAATGAATTTATCGATTGTTTCGTGTTTATTTTTTAACAAATAAACATAGTTATAGCGAGTGCTATTATCGATAAAAGTAATAAAATATTTATTACCGCCACGTGTTTGTATTGATTTAAAGCACAAACGTCACTATGAATTAATTCAAGTGGTTCCGTTTTTCTTTCAATCGATTTGAAAGACGTTTTCGTTAGTTTTGCCCCAACACAAATTCCACATTTGTGCTTCACATCAATTGTGAATTTAGGAATGTTTTCCATGTTATAAATCTCTTGGGTTTTCCGATGTGGGATAAATCACGCTAGAAACTCATCATTTCCCTAGTTTTCTCCATTTCAACGAGTGAACTTCGAGAATCAATTTCTCATTCACCTGTTATTCGATTTGAGTGTGCCATATATCGAATTGTAATGCTTAACAACGACAATCTGAAACCACTTTTACCCGACCCAGATCGGAAGTGGATCCCACTCAAAATATTGTCCAAAATTGACCATTGAATACAATTTTTAACACATTTTCCAACACAAATCACCACAACAAGACAACTATCAATCGCCGGAAGTCATCTGAAATCGTTGAATCTACAAATCACCACTGAAAGTAATCTGACCCTCTGGTAGCCATTGGGGAGTCACTGGACGTTCATCAGATCTTCGCCCCTTCGTTACCGAAAGTTGTCAAAAAGTCACTATAAAGCCGGATGTAGCTAATAAGCAATGGGGGCACATGCCCCCAATAACTTTGTCCTTTTAGTTATTAAAATAATAAAAAATTATGCTTTAAGGAGTAGTGCCCCCAATAAAAAAAAGGATGCCCCCATTAATATATCATACAATGAAGTTGAAGTACCTATTAGTCTTTCTATTCCATAATTTCCATGGCCAGTCGATTCCATTTCTCATTTATT